ACCTGCAACATGTGACTATATCTAATAACGAGGTTTACTATATAACTTCACTATATCGAGGGAAATACTTATCAGAGAAATTCTTGACTATAATGCGAAATTTACTGTATCGAGGCTTGACTATATCGGAGTTTGACTGTAGTCACTCACTTAATTTTCGTATTCTGACGCGTGACTACATCGAGGTGCGACTGTATACGTTTTAGAATTACTCATATATGAAAAAACGGTTTTACCGAATATACGAAAATTAATACGTTTCTTAGAGATAGATTAGTACCCTAGCCATGGCAAAGAAAATTGTTCGGGTCAGAAAACCGATTTGTCATGACAGCTCGGCCATAAACATAAACAATAAACATGCAAAACGCGTCATATGTTCCTTTTATAGGATATTTTTATTTATTACTTTATTTAATAAAATCTGTGCTAATAGAGTAAATTTCGGCCGTATTAAAGTCTTATTACCTTATTTAGTATAAGACGCCAAGATTCATACTATAAAGTTCAGTTCAAATATTCAAGCAAATTCAAAGCCAAGTGAAATAATATGTTATTTCGGCCGCAAGACATTTTGATCTTCAAATATAGGTTTAAATAAATGAAAAAAGTATAAAAAAAACTATAGTATCTAATCGCTTATTATTATGTGTTATCGGCATTAACACGTTCATATTTCATAAAACAAATATCTAAGAGCCATAAATCGTTTATTGATACTTGCTCGTAATAAACAAATTCAATTAACGCTAGTCTTTTTTTCATAAAAAAAAAAACCGATATGAGCAGCATTAATGTATCTCAAAGTATTTTCCGAAGCGTATATATGAATGCGTAACTCTTTGGCGTATCATTACTTATACTGTCGATTAATTTGTTCAAGAATTCCGCGAAAAGAAGTGTAACGGTTGCCATACAACAAAAAAGGCGATTGAATTCTGCAGGCCAAAACGCGATAATCTGTTGTATGAATATGCAACTTGCAATAATTGTTCCGAAAGACTAAAAGGCAAAAGAAAAGCGAGGGATACCGAGTCAGCAGAAACGACATTAGCAAATGCTGATTATAGAAGCGTAGCATTATCTCGGAGCAGCAGTTCGTCCAGCACATCACAGATCAATAGTAATTTCACAGATCTTCTAATATCCCACGAGTATGACAGCACAGTTTCAGAGCCAATCTTAGATCTATCATCGAACGAAATCGCCAATGAACTAAACATTCAGAGTGAAAATAATCCCGACATACTCCTGTATGAATTAAATAAAATATGTAACGTTATTTCGAGAATTTTTGAGCACGCGACAGCATTCAACGAAATAGTTGACTATACCTTTGAAATCGAGCTGGATGCGGAACTGGTCGAAATGGCATCAGCCGTCCAATTAGTGAATGATGAAAAGCGATCAAAGATAAATTCCGTGAAATTTCTAAATATCTTATTTGGCCAATCGAATCAGGTTCGGGTTACTATTGAAAAATACGGAACATACGTTTATGTACGAGACATAAGCAGTTAACATACTCTGCCGTTATATATCTCGGATGTACTATGCGGGATGATCGTGCGTGGCAGCGACCAGAAGATCAGCCTGTCAAAAGGCGGAGTGAGGCTCGCGCACATATCACTAGATACAGTTGTGGAGGAAACATTAAGTTATTTATAGATATAACAGAAAAACGAGCCACTGTCAATGTTCACCATCAAATACAACATGAACGTCCAACATACCGACAAGTAATCTTTCCTATTGAGGCAAAAGAATGGATCAAAGCCAATATTGGATATGGCCAGCAGAATACAGTAGTAGTAGTAGTATATCGGAGACTCTGTAAAGAAAGACTCATCAATCCAGATATACACACTAAGGAGCAAGTTTACTACTGGACATCCACTCTTAAAAAAGAAACTTACATTATGAATCAAGAAAATCAACTCCTCTCTGCAAAAATTTACCTTCAACAATCTGAATTCATTGAAAAAGGTTTCAAGATAGTTGTTTATATAGAAAATGATTTCGTACGTGCCCTGGGATTTATAACACCATTATGGGAAAAAATTGGTATTAACAACGTAACAGAGATTGTCATTGACTCAACATTTAAAACAAATCAACAGCGGTTTGAATTGTTTGCAGTAAATGCTAATTGTGGAGGATATGGTATGACCATTGCGTATCTATATCTTTGTACTTACGATGGTACTGAAGAACTTCGACATGACCTAGAAATGAAATTCAAACCCGAGTTGGAACACTAGAGAGTTTTTTTGTCAGTCTCCGACAAGAAGGACTAATGCCAGTTTTCGTTCTATTGGACAAAGATTCAGGAGAGATATCAGCAGTAAGTGAAGCATGGTTGCGGACTACAAACATTCAACTTTGTTATTGAGATAAACGATCAAAAACCCGTTATACAGTCCGGGATTATACCAAATTCTGCCTTTCAAGACCCACATTTCCCTCGGTTTCTGGAACTTTTTCTAAAACAGCGGAAACGGGTTCAATAGATATACTTACCTTGGTCCCGGTTTCTGGTAAAGATTCAACTTTCTCAATTATCTTATCTTCCGAATTAGGCGTATGAGACAATGAGATAGAGGGAGTGGTTATATTACCTGTCTTTATTTCAGATGAGATTTTTCCGGGACCGGCGGTCTCAGAAATTTCGGTATTTTCGGACGAAATTTGATGTCTTGCATTATCTGTATCGACGTTCTGACAAGAATAATTTATAATCTCTTGAATTTGATTATTAGTAAGCTTTGAAATGGAATTCGCACTATATGATTTGATGTGTTTGATTTTATCGTGGCCTATTTTTTCGAATAATATATAAATTTTCTCAGCTCTGAGTTTTTTTGCGTAAAGCATCCCGCGATATTTCTGGAAGATGTAAACCCAATTCTTGAGATCTTTTTTTACAGATAATAGAAAGCTGCTTTGTAATGGAGTCATAAAGTAAGCTTCTCGCCTTCTTTTCACCAATTTTACCCCCCGCTATTTTTAATAATCTCATTGAACTGAACCCTGAAATCCTTTCCATAGATGGACCAACATAAGATTTCTTCTTGGTTAGCTCTATTTGCACCATCCTCAGCATCAAAAGCTTTATCACATAACTGAGCTAGATGTTGCGATGCTTCATCAATGTTAGATTTTCCGGGACCGGCGGTCTCAGAAATTTCAATCACATGGTTTTGAATTATATTCGATTCTTGTAGAGACGGCTCTGGAGTAAATAATTCTTGGATCAACCCCTGCCCACCTTTTACACTCAAGGAAGATCCTGGGAAGTTATGATTTTCTCTTGATCTCGAAGTTTCTTCTCCTTAATATTAATGCTCTTAATGATCTCTTTACTAACCGTTTCTCTATGCTTTGAATCCAGAAATTTGTCAATTGCTTTCTCTTCTAATGTATTGCCATTCTCTATAGGAATAAGAGATGTGGAAGATCGGCTATCCTTTTCCTGGATTATATATGAATCGGATGTGATATTGGAACTATTTTCTATTTGTTCAGGAGCTACATCAGAATTTGAAGTATTATCAGATATATTAGATGCCGGAGTATCGTTAGAATTTTTCATTTTGGTAGAGATGGTATTAGATACTGGGTATCCTGCTTCGCAGACTGAAGATTGATTGATTTCCTTGGCATCATCATCTGATTTAATAATAAAGTTGTTCTTTTCATCGGTTTTCGATTGCTTCTGTTCTAATTTCGCAACTCTAACTTTAAGCTCAGCATTTTCAACAGCAGTATCTTTATCGTTCTGCTCCAGTTTCGCAAATCTGGATTCATGTTCTTCCAAAGCTTGTTTTAATTTTACGTTCTCAGCTTTAAGTTCATTGTTCTCAAACTTGATCTCGGTATCTTCCCGTCTAAGTATATCATTCTCAGCTACAAGCTTGGAAATCCGTTCTTCTAATGAACTGTTTTAGATTGTGTATTTGCCATTTTTATATAAGATACAAATATGTTTAATTATATTAGTGAATAAAAAAATCATGACGCGTTCTTACCAAGAAAAAAAATTATCCTTTTTCCTCTCAAGTTCGGATAGATAGCAGTGCATCGGATCTACTAGCTGACTTCGAGGCAAACAACCATTATGCGAGATATCCTAGATATCGACCGCATTTACACGAAAAAACAATCAAATGCTAATAAGAGCGAAATTTATTTTTCAGATATATCTGAACGGCACAATAAACAAGATATAACTTGCATATTTAATGTACTCATGTTGAAATTTTATTTTTGAATTAGTTTTTGTATTGTTTTGCTGTCAAACTCTGTTGATTTGTTCTATATCATTTGTTAATCTACTTGAGCATCTCTTTTATTTGCGGACTGTTTGGTAAGTCTCGCATATAACGCATTTGTGATGGAGGAGTAGTTGTGCCACTTTGAGAAATCTGACAATTGTAGTCTTCAGCAATTTTGCTGATTTGTTCCTGCCAATGCAAAATATAAATGAAAGTTGTTAACTATTTCATTGTAAACATAAAATGAAATATGTTGCATGTGTACCTCTAGTGCCACAAAGTGCCAGATGTTTGACTCCAGCAAAGGAATGGTGGTTTTATCTTTGACCAGTCGGGTAGTTAAAAAAGGCCATGACTGGTAAACCCCATCGTATTTGAGATCCATAACATATGATTGTACCAAATCTCCTGAAGGCATAGTTTAATAAACATAATTAATTGAATTGAAATCAAGCTTTATCAACTATGAGCCAACATACCTTGATTTATTAACAATATTGCTTCTTCTGGACCACCTTTCAATTGATTGATGGACTTGCACCCTTGCAACTGTACCTTCAACTTGTCTTTTTGTTGTTGGAGAGGTGTGGATCCAGGTGGTTTGATCTCTGAATTCAAAATAGAAACTTTGTTGACCAAACACAAAAAATCTGCCCTCTTTGCTGTACCCTTGTGCACAATTCAATTGAATCTTATATTCTTTATTTGAACTGGTAAAAAACAACAGACGGATGATTGGGTGTAGCAACTGGAAACAGTGTTTGTCCTCTGATGTTTTGGTTGGGGAAACAGCAGGAATGCTATTACACCTGTTATACATGAAAAAAATATAAGAGGCAGATTTGATCTCAGTTCACAGTTACTGAATCAAGACTTACATGTCATTGAAAATTCTAGAAATGGCTTGACTAATTTCAGAATCATATACAGACAAAAAAACAGTCTTTCCTTCTAAACAATCAGCAGATGCATTCCGTAAAGAGGATACAACCTCTGTTGGTAGTACTGGATCAGTTACAACATATGGATTTTCACATGTAATATTTTGCCATTCCCGATTTGTGAAAATTGAAGCAGGGTAAGGGCAAGACGAGCTGAATACAATTACCAAAGACAATGCCCTATCAAGCATGCAAAGTCATTAGAATAATACATCATCCAGTATTCAAAAATACTTACAATATTTCATAAAAATCACTCCACTTTAATCTATTGATCTTCACCTTCTCAAGTACATCTATCTGATATTGTCTAAATTTTTGAGATACATTGATGGAACCAACTATCCACTAAAAAACAGAAGCAAACTGTGAGATATTCAGAATACAATAACCAGGAACTTGACATAGCATACCTCATTGATTGGCTCCCATTGCAACTCCTCTTCAATATCTGTAAAGTTGAACTTTATTTCTTCATCATCTTCAGGCTCTACATCAGAAGAGGAAGACTTTTCGCTATCATTTCTTGGTCTGGTGTTTGGCTCTTCAACATTGAAATTTATTTCTTCATCATCTTCAGAAGAGGAAGACTTTTCTCTACCATTTCTTGGTTACATATACACTTGTTCTTGCCTAAATATAGAAAATACACTTGAGCTTTTTATGTTCTCTTAACTTTATAACCTATAATTTTTACCTTTTTATGTGAAACATTTCCTTCAATTTCATTCT